CTTCCTGACAAGCAAACCATCTTGCGTTAGACAGAGTAAAATAGGCTGCGTTCAGACTGGGTGCCCGTCACTTGTTTTGGAGCCTAGATTGAACACGATGTTTCCAAATGAAATTGGGCATAGTGCCCAATAAAGGGCACTACTTCTAGACTAAGAAGTAGTACTCAACAACGGTACTGTGCTCAATATGTTTTGGGAACCAGTTTGAACATTGGGCACCAGTGCCAGGCACTCGGTCTGAAACAATGCAACTTAAATGTCTCCTACAGCAGATGAAATTGTAGAACAGCCACCATTCTGACGCCTACTAACCCCTTGTAAATATAAACAAATTGCTCAAAATATATATAATTTATAATTGCCTCGCGAAATCATGCATTTCAAATTTGATTAAAACCACATACAGTACATGTATATTCAAGTATTCCTCTATTTCTTTGTGTGTTTAAACAACAGGGAAAAGTGGACAGGTATCCTATAACCGCTCCAGAGTAAACTAACAAACCTTTCCAACAAGGTAGATCATTTTTGTGTCTTGGTCGTAATAAGGAAAGTTTACACCATTACTTGAGTCAAGTTCATCGAGATGAAGAGGCTTCTCTAAATTGTTCTAAAACAACATAATAAACAAACAATAGAACACATGCCAGTCAACACTCATGCAACTTTTAAAAACAGGGCATGGGAGTTGATGAAACTCTTATGTTAATCTTAAATGAAACATACCTGGTCCCAAACTGCCCAGACACGCTTGCTCATTCTTGTAAATCCAGTTGTAAAGAGGAATCCCAAGTTGCTACAGAACACAACTCGCTGTGGTTTAGCACCTTCATGACATTTCCCTTCCTGTTTAGACAAGAAAAACAGGCTTTCTTAAATTTATTTTGACAACAGTGTTAGCAAAATGTTGAGCATAAAAACATTAGGCTTGCCAACATGTTCCCACAGCAGTGCAAACAGGCATAGACAATATACTGTACTTCTCTCCCTGGCAGCAAAATCCAAAAATAAAAATTTCTTGTGCAAGTCTAATATAAAACGTCATACAGAGAACATACCACCGGTGCCACAGTGTGTGAATGATAAACTTTTGAAAAAAAAAACCCACTTTTGAAACACTTTTGAAATTTTTAAGCGATACGTAAATTATATGGTATTCCAGTATATAAGACAAAAATTTCCTGCAAGGTGTAAGAAAATGTCCTTCAAAGATATTTTGCTAACTAGAAGTTACTATCGCAAGGAAAGTGCTGCCTCACCACAATAAAAATTTCCTGGACAATTTCCAGCAGTAACTGCAAATATCAGTTCTAGATTTTTTTACTCAATTTACAGTAGTCAGTGCTGAATTGCTCATCTGAATATATATTAAGCTTTCATGGTTGAAAAAGCTGAAACAAGTTGCCTAGTCGAGGGCCATGCTAAAACGCATGAACTACCAAGTCACCTGCTTCACTTCACCACTACGGGCATCTATGATCCGCAGTTGCTTGTCTTTGCAAGTTGTTGCAATTAAGCTGCCATTATGATTCCACGATATGCTGTAAATTAAATCGGAATGACAAGTGATCGTTTGAACCGGTTGTTGGCTTTCCAAATTCCATATTGCTATAATATGATCATGACTTGCACTGAGTAGAATATTTGCAGCAACAGGATTCCAAGCAAGCAGACCAACCCTACGTTGGTGGACACCTTCCAGGGTCAACAATGGCTTTGTCAGATTTTCGACCAATCCATCGTCAGGAATTTGCCAGACTTTCACAGTCGTATCTTCAGATGATGAAGCAATGATATTATCATCGAAAGGATTCCAGGCTATGTCAAGCACCTCCATTTTATGCCCAGCAACCTTAGGGGCATTAAGATCAACTCTCCCGAACTAAAAAAACACAATTCTTACTCTACTGCAACGAGATGCATAACGTGGAAGGCATTGGGGTGCCTCCCACTTTTATCAAAATGGGAAAAGTGACCCTTTTCTGGATTGAAAATGCTGTTTACCCAGGGATGGCTTTACTGGTCGGCAGCAAGGGAGGCTTCAAATGGATCATTCTTGAAGAAAAGATTAGGGGTGCACCAGAACCAATTTTTCAAGTTCCGGCCAGAACCGGATCCAACCAGAATTGGAAAAAAGTTCCGGCCGGAACCGATTTATTAAGCCATATATGGTCATATGTTACTTTGTCTGCTGCCAGACAGGCAGACACTTCAAGTCATCAAGGAGAGAGTTCGCAAATGTTAGAATAAAAAGATTGACAAACGTTAAACATCATAATGAAGTGCTAATAGTGCACATTTCCCTTGCGTACCGGTAGTCCAAATTTCTTCCTACTGTGAACTTTTGTTAGATACAAAATTTGATATTCTATCTCTCTGAAAATGACAGAGTTCCGGTTCCGGCCATGCTTTTTTTATTAGTTCCAGCCGGAACAGGAACTCTGAAAAATTGGGATTCCGGCTGGGACTAACCAGCCAGAACCGAGTTTCGGTGCACCCCTAAAAAAGATCCACACTCCCTCCCATGGGAACACTGGCATCTGGGAACACTCCCAAGGGGAGAGGGGGGGATTTGTTTCTGATAATAATAAAGTGTATTTGGACATCAGAAGGGGTTAGCTTCCAATTTATTCCATGGGGGACGTACTGTATGGATGTAACAAATTACCCTAAAACACAACATGCCATGCAAGCTGCAGCAGGGGTCTGGAAGTCTCCAGAAAATAAATGGCAAATATCGATACTTTTGGTCTGACATTGCTCAAAATCCTTGTTTTTAGTCTAATAATGAGCATTTAAATTTCTGGAGGGGTGCTAATTTCTCTAGGTAGGGTGGAAAACCGTTCTGGGGTTGCCAAAAATTCAGGGGGGTCCACCCCCCCCCCCTGCACCCCCAGAAAATCCGTCTGTGGACAGCACCAAAATTATATTCAGACAGCCCCAAAATTATATTCAGACAGCCCCACATTTATAATTTATACAGAGTTTCCTGTCCAAGACAAGTTTCCCAACCAAGATGAGTTTCCCATCTCTAACATGAATTTCACTAATTGTAGCTCTGCAGTCTAGCAGTGTGCCACCAACAGGCTTAAACTGCCTGTATTCAAATTTTAGCAGGCATTAATTACAACGTTTGCAGTAAAAAAATTCCTCTACATTTTACTCCAAAGGTTCATAGAAAAGATTTTCTGTAAGCACACTATTTGACAGACATGATGTGTTTGTCAAATCACTCGACAGATACCATAAAAGGCAATAAATTCAAGCAAACTATAATATATGCTTCACATATATTGCTCAACCGTAAGCCATTTATTATAATTTTGGGCTTATTCAATGACACCAATTATTTTAATCTTGACAGTATATATACAATACTAATCATCGCTCATAGCACCCCAGCTCAAAAAATGCAAAAACTTTAACATTGTTTATAGTTCCAAGCATTTGCCATTTATATACTAGATTCTTATTTCGAAATACAACTAGTATCGGTATTAAACTAATGAATATTTACTAGATTAGATAAATTTTTTTAACGTGCAAGTCTTAACACTAAACCGTGCTACGTTGCAATCAATACCTCAAATAAACAGAGCAACTAGAGCCAATTATATTAAGAGAAACAGTTTGTATGAACTGGCATAGAAAGTTATTGTACACTTTATCAAAACAACACAAAACGAGGAACAGAAATAAGAGTGAACGCCCATACATAATTGCGTTAGCAGCGAGCAACGAACGCGTCTAGACGAAACTAATACAACTTAAACAGATCTGATTGAGAAATTTACCTACCTTTTCCAAGGGCAATACAAGAAAGCTTCCACCACCGGCGGATTCCAAAACAATCGCAATGAATTTAGGATTTGCAGCACAATACGGTGCGTCCCATGAGTTCTTGCTGACTTTCATGCCATCGTATGAATGATCTCTCTTCGACCCTGTACCGAAAACATGGCGAAATTTCGAAGAACGAACGAAGTTTGGCATGTTGTGGTCTTTCTACAATAAATGTGTAATCTTTGCGATGTTTTTGGACGCTTTCCTTGCGTCGATTTTGAAAAATCTTTGCAAAAGGAAACGCTTCGGAGTCGATAAAGGAAGCTTGTAGTTTCCCTTGCTTTTTTCCGGGGGGAGTGTTCTTGTGACGTCACAAATTTATGTTTATTTCCGATATAAAACATTCTTGAACCGATATACAAGTACTTCTGAAAAAGTACATTTTTAATAGATATATATTTAATTAAAGGCTTAAAATTTGATAAACTTTAAAAATTAGCCATTACGGTAACAGCTTGTTGTTTTTTTATTTATTTAATACTCAATCATTTTGAACTTATACAATATGTCAATATGCAAACGGCGGAAGTGTTTACAATTTATTCAAAATGAATATTTAATGTTGTATTGCACGATATCTGACCATGTAGGGTATTAATATGCGTTTTTGCAAGCAGGAAGTATATTTTCAAGGAAATATCGAAATATAACGCGTTTTTAGAACATCAAGCAAGACAATGTATACAACTGAATTGAGTCTATTATAAAATCGTTTCAACTTTTGACCAAAAATGAAAAAATGAATTTTTTGTTTCCGCCGATATTGTATCCACTATTCCGAGCTATTCCTCATTGAGGCAACTCAGGACGTTTCCCTTTTGGCTGAATCAAGTTGATACTGAAGGGAAGTTATTAGACCCCATCGCAGGTGTCCCGTGGCGTATTAAATTTCTCGCTCTGGATTTAATTGTTAATTAAATAGATCGAAGATCCAAAAACTAAAAGGGAAGGTACGAACAGGGAAGTCTTGAAAAAGGACCCATGACCATGCAAGGTGCCTGTCCGTTTTCTGTATATTAAAAATTCTTAAATGGAAGAATGAATTATTAAGAAAGAGAAAGTATATGACAGGAAGTGTAGAGCGATAGTAGAGTTGTGCAAATCCGATCCGAATCTGATCGGATTCGTTCGGATTTCGGAACCAAAATATTAATTTCGGATCGGATTGATAAAGTTGTTTCGTAGTCGGATCGGACTTCGATATCTGAAATAAAATGAATTAATTATCCACGCATTTATCAAAGCATTATCGCGGTTGTCGCTGCATTATTCGTTTGATACTTCAATTGGACGTCACTTTGTCAGCTTCTTGACATGTATTTCTTGCTTTTATATTTATTTGGTTAAACATTTCAACTGGAATGAGAAATTTATTTTATTAAGTTAAAGAATTCTTCGGATCGGATCGGATTGGAATTCTTTATCAAAAACTCGTATCGGATTCGAATTAGACAATTTCGGATCGGATTTTAAACATTAGGCAATTGTCGGATTATAAACGTCCAATCCGATCCGATGCACACCTCTAAGCGATAGAGTAAGTAAGCAAGATATGCATGTGGAAGGACCAATAACACAGGCATAGACCAGGCATAGACATACAAACAGACAGCTATGTAGACGGTCTGAAGAAGATGAAATCATGAAAATAGTGACCAATAGCGGGTCAGGATCAACATCCTTGCACACTCTGTTCCAGGATGAAAGAAAGATGATTCAATACCCTAGTATCATTTAGAAATTTGGGACACAAAATGCCAGAACCAAATCCAAGAGGTTCTTGCATCAGCCATTTACATTTCCACATGTTTATAATCAAGGAAATTACAAAAGTCAGTTAAAATTGCTCTATCATTGAACTCTGTCATTTAGGTAATGGGAAACCTCTTACATTTAGTTTTGAGATCATGGGAACTAAACATATAAAGGACTGGAAGCATGCGATGTAATATTTCAAATCCGACTAAGAGGACTGGACTAGATTTCAAATCCGCGCAAATTGATCAAAATGCGAGGACTTGAAATCTAGTCCAGTCCGAATAGACCTTTCCCCTTAAAAATGAAATTTTGATCTAGACTAGCCTGGACAAAAATTTCATCACAGCTTGAAAGAGCATCACAAAATTAGTAATATTCCGAAGTTTCGTTGCGAAATGTTGTAAAATGCGGATAATATAGCCTTGTGAAGTTTGCCGTTTTTCAGTCATTTGGTATTACAAATGGGAAATTGATAATCAGATGTTCAAACTGATTATCAATTTCCATTTGTAATACAAAATGACTGAAAAACGGCAAACTTCGCAAGGCTATATTATCCGCATTTTACAACATTTCGCAACGAAACTTCGGAATATTACTAATTTTGTGATGCTCTTTCAAGCTGTGATGAAATTTTTGTCCAGACTTGTCCAGATCAAAATTTCACTTAAAAGGGGAAAGGTCTATTGGAGGATTTGAAATGACATCTCATACGAATAAATCACTACTTAAAGCGTGGATAATAAAATAAATAGCAATAATAAAAAAATATAGCAAAACAACAAATATGCCGAGAACTTTGGTAACATTCGCAATACGCGTGACGTCACGTTTTTCAACAAGGATGCAGTCAATGACGTCAGAAGTTTCCAATCCATTTATTTTATTATCCATGCTTAAAGTGAAGTGATCCAGTCCAAGGATTGAATTAATTTTGATCCAGTCTTAGTACTGGATCAATATACTTCACCGAGATATCCCGAGTATTATCATCTGAGTAAAATAAAGCAATATGGTTGGCTAATTTAGTAATTTACTCTATATCTTTTTTAATACCAGGTTAAAAGATGCTGGTACCTAAAATGGATTCCTATTCTAATCTCAAACCCTGCTTGGGTCCAGTGGTGCATGAGTCGAACCCTATTCACATAATATTATGCAGTGCTGAAATTTTTTCATTTAGTTTGATATTAATAATATTCATGATGGGATAATTTCTACATTGATATACAAGCATATTTACAACTAACGGTTCAAAAATTGGCAACTAGGGCGAGGCGGTTAATCGATGACCGGGAAAACGATGTGTTTTTTTTTAAACCGATTCAACCTATGTTGTTCTAGGCAAAAAAACGGAAAAAGCTGTTTGAAAAATCACGGCGCCAGTTCAACCTTCAACGTTAAAAACGTGGGAAAATAGGTAACGGTGGGCTTACCGCTTACATATTACTATACCATTAATACAATTGTTTTTAAAACTAAAGTCTTAACTTATAAAAATCTTTTTTTCGGGTTTTCCAGACGATTTTTAGCCACTTCACCCTACCCTACCCTAGTACTAGCCTAAGAATACATAACTCATAAGCTTGGTATCACTTAAGCGACAGCCATAAAACTATGCAGTATTAAAGCATGTAAGCACTATTTTGGACACTATCATAAACGAACGAGGCATAGAATGAATCTGATTCCACTGAGTACAGAGTATGTCCCAAAATAAAACCCTGCATTGCAATTTCCAACATGGCTATGCAATATATCAGCGGTTCAGTGACAATAAAATTATATTTACAGCTTAGTGTTGGACAATCTTCCCATCCATGCCTCCCGGAATATTTTTACATTATATTTGAAAGAACTCCATGTCATTATGAAAAACGGGGGGTCCAAACCCCTATCTTCTCGAATTTGTTTTAGAACCTGTGAAACTAACTCAAACTCTATAAATTCATTGTTTTATAGCAAAAATGTCCACTGAACCACAAAATGACTGAACTGAAATTAACTGGATTAATACCAGTGGTCAATGACCGGGCATGCGGGTTTCATAATGTCAGTTCAACTGAATCATCCCAGATTCCGGGCGCTCTGAGGAAAATTCCCAATATGGTGGCAATACCGATGAAGGCTGAACCCCATAAGAAGAAGCGATCTAAGACTTTCGCGGCCAGCGTCCACTGTTGATGACGCATCCGCATTTCTTCCTCGCTGACAGAAGCTCCGGTTTCATCAGTAAACATTCCTTTTTCGTTTTGGACATTCTGAGAATTAAATTCGTTTCCGATAGAGCCCAGGGTTAGCTTTAGAACATTGTGGTCGTTTGTTGGCTTCGCATGATTCTCGTCGGCTTCACGCCCGTTCTCGTGGTACTGGGTTCTAGTTGCGCCCACGATGTCAGCGTCACGCGGATGCTCGCCGATTGCGTAGCCGTTATTCACGACGGCGTCAACGTTCTCACGCATTCCGCGTTTTATCGTCTTCTTTCGAGATTTGTTGCACTTTTCTGCGGACTCGTGGAGAAACACGATCCGTGACATCCACTCCAAAAGCAAAACTCGTAACCATCCTGGCATATGACGGTTTGTGCGGTGGTAGAAGTTGAGAATGATAGTGGTGATGAGTAGTGCGCCGCCAATCTCCAAAATCGTAGCGAAGTAATACTGGCCGAGTAAAGGGAAGCCATAAGAAGGCATTATTTCTGATGTGAGCTGTTGAAAGACGGTCATGGCCAGGAGAACGGTGATGCTCAGTCCCACTCGTTCGCCCGATTCTGGTGGAAGGATGAAGCCTGACAAGAAAAATCGTGTAAGCCGATTAAAGGCTAGGCACAGTTCAGCCTTTTGAATGATGGTTTTTAAGGCGCATTTCAGGTCTTTTAGTACTTGAAGGTTCGAACTTTCTTGGAAAACTTTTCGTTCAACGTTTTCGTTTCATATTTTCTTTCTTGTGTCGAAAGGATAATCATGCATTGTAGTTTTAAAACAGCAAGTTTATTTACTCTTTATTGCCTGATACAGTAAAATTTTTCTTTGTCTTGCGTTTGCCGTTTGACGTATAACGCGAAGCTTAAATTCTCTATTGAAACAAGCAGCGGGAAGATTTTTTTGCGTTTTCGTCTGCAATGAAAACGCCAGTTTTTCATTATGATCCTAAATTTTCCAGAATTCGAACTGGTATCTGGCAGATTGTGGCATTCAGAATAATCGGTAATTTACGATTGTTGCCCAATCGGCCAATTACTACTTACCCAAGAAAGTCATACATGAAATCATCAAGCAGGGTATAACCAGGTTAATCATGTAATCCAGATGCTGTCTCTTCATAGCAATGGTCATCGTCACATCCATGTACTTCTCACCAGATCCGTACGTGTGATCTCTCGCTTTTGTTTCCACTTTATAAATCCCCCATTCCCCGTTCTTTATATAATCACTCGAAGGAAATGTTGCGTTCTCCTTGGTCGTGAGTTTGAGCTTGCTCGAGTCATATGTCCAGGAGCCGAACTTGAGGCGACATGTTTGCTGGTCGAGTGGAAAAAATGCCACATCAATTTCGCAAATAGCCTTGAAAAGAGACGGACTTGACCACAAGCTTCGTCCGTCCGAATGTAGTTTAATCAAAGTCTTATATGTTTCCTCGCCTCCCCCAGTGCGGTCTTGTTCATCCACACTAGAATAGGAATAAAATAAAGTCATAAGGGCCCGGCATTATTTATGCCGGAGGGAGGGGGGGGCGTGGCACCGAGGAGAAAAGTTTTTCTTGGCAAACATTTTGCTGATACAAATCACTTTTTTACCCAACCTCAAATATCAATTTAAAAATATATTCCCACCCCTTGTTATCACACATGTCCTTTGCCACTTCTGTGACACGAGTTTGATAACTGTTTGTACAATTTTCTGCAGTCGAAAGTTTCATGTTGTCTGCTGAGAGTCTGCACATGTACTTTCTTTGGAGACACCATTTGCCTCCTGACATATCAAAAAATGACCAAGATAGTGACTCTGATTGATTGATTTACATATTGTATTGACATATGACTGTTGACATTGCTTTTTAATCTTCAATATTTGAGTGAGTCATGCTTTGGAAATGATAATAATATTTTATTACTGATAATAATATATTATTTTGTTTTTTTATTTACCCAGTCATTACTGGCGAATCATATGATGTCAGGTCTAAGGATATTCTGCAAGAATTGATCTGGCAATCATTGATGGAAAAAAAACAAAGGGGTATTTATGCAAAAAGTTACGAATGCCTAGGAAAGATCACAAATATGTTTAATTAAAGTAAAAAATAATCAACATTCTAATTTGCGCAATACTAAGCCGTTTAACTCTTTGGGCCCAGAGAAAGCCCGCGACTTTTTTCAGAGCGTCGATGTAATATTTCAAATCCGCCCATATGAGGACAGAACTAGATTTCAAGTCCGCACAATAGACCTTTCCCCTTTTAAGTGAAATTTTGATCTAGACAAGTCTGGACAAAATTTCATCACAGCTTGAAAGAGCATCACAAAATTAGTAATCCTGTTTCGCTCGCTACTCTGGTTTAAATAAATGATTACAAAGCCCAGTCGAATTGTAATCAAGGTCTTGATTACAATTCGACTGGTCTTGATTACAATTCGACTGGGCTTTGTAATCATTTATTTAAACCAGAGTAGCGAGCGAAACATGATTGATATACCTGGTTGCAGTGGACGAACAAACTTTAAAATTAGTAATATTCCGAAGTTTCGTTGCGAAATGTTGTAAAATGCGGATAATATAGCATTGCGAAATTTGCCGTTTTTCAGTCATTTTGTATTACAAATGGGAAATTGATAATCAGATGATCAAACTGATTATCAATTTCCCGTTTGTAATACCATGCAAATGACTGAAAAACGGCAAACTTCGCAGGGCTATATTATCCGCATTTTACAACATTTCGCAACGAAACTTCGGAATATTACTAATTTTGTGATGCTCTTTCAAGCTGTGATGAAATTTTTGTCCAGACTTGTCTAGATCAAAATT